GTACAAGTAAAATAATGAAACATAAATCATCTTATGTTTGCTCAATGTTTATGCAGCACAAGTAGAACAATGAAGCATAAATCGTCTTATGTTTGTTCAATGTTTATGTAGTACAAGTAAAATAATGAAACATAAATCATCTTATGTTTGCTCAATGTTTATGCAGCACAAGTAGAACAATAAAACATATCTTATGTTCAATGTTTATGTAGCAGAAGTAAAACAACGAAACACAATTCAGTTTCGTTCAATTGTTTTCTAGCACAGAGAGAAGAAAAAAGGGGGAATAGATATGTATTTAAACGGAAAATAAAGAAAGGAACGAGATATCGTTCTTCAGACATCTGTTGTAAAAACCTCGTTTGGATCAATCAATTTACCTGAATATTTAGATAAGAATACAAATTTATTATGCTTAAAGACTTAGTGAGGCTACTTTTGAGCTCGATTATAGTAGCTTTCCACATCTGTTATTGGTCAGCATGCACGAGACATAGTCATGCTGTTTCTCTCTCTTTGTTCATATATTTACCTGTAGTTTCCAGAAAGGTACTTAAGATTTAATGATACCTGGTTTCGACAAGGGTAGTACTTGTTGTATACAAATTTCCGACAGTTGCAGTAACAACTTTTTTTTTTTGATCGATAACATTTCTCGAAAACCTTCTTCCTCTCCTTCTTTTGTTCTACAACTAATTTTTCCCCACTTGCTACGAACTTGATTTACTTATGCTAACTTTTGATCTTTTTGTGAAGATGAGCAATGGGAAAATATGGTGATTAATTAGGTGGCCTGAATGTTTCCCTGTTCTTGAGTTTGATGCGAACAAATTAACAAATAACTAGACACACAACCTTATTATTTATTATCCCCAACATAGAATCAAATCCATCTCTGCGAAAATTCGATCATATTTATTTTTGATAAAGACCATACTTTGTCAGAGGCACATCTTACTAGCTCAGGAGAATAGGAAGTCTGGATCTGGTGTTAAACCACGTGGAACAGTAGTCAAAAATAACACAACACTGTGTTATAAGAGAAAATAAAACACGTTATATTCTGAGAAGAAGTCAGTAAATATATACAACACTTAAGTGATACACGGATTGTTTGTTTTCAGTGAAAATCTAAACAAATGGCTATCTGCACTATGTACACCGTATGGAACTGAACCCCGGATTTTAGCTTTGTAAGACTGCAAACGTACTGCTAACCCACCGGTGGACGTACAATTGGTTAGGAGTGAACTCTCAACGAAACTTCTTTAATGTAATTTTCAGTTTTGCGTGATATTTTAATATTTTAAAATCAGCGTTATGAAACAGGTCCCTCATGCTTAGAAAAGTGACATTGTTTGTGTTGCGATGTGCAGAATATCTATCTGTATGTGTGTGTGTTACAGAAGTAAAGTTCGTTATATTAAAACAATCTTCGAACATCATCACGTCTTGTCATGCTCTGTCTGACGACAGTACATCTTGAAAAACAGCTTTGCAGTGTAGTTTCCATTGTTAAAACTTCCATAATAAAGCTGTCATGATAAAAGCACACCACTTCTACCTACATTCTTTCCGTAATACATTTAATGTATGAAAACGATGTTTTCTCAGAACCCGTTTCAGAAATCCAGAGAAACTGCGTCTGGCGACTTTACCGTTATGTCTTCGTTTAGAATAACATCAATACACGTTTCATTCTCCAGCTGCTTGGAGTATGCAACGGTTGAACTGGAGAGACGACTGGAAGCCTTATCTTGGTGAGCCCACGACCTGTTGTTCTCATTTTCAGACGATGATCCTTATTGATTATGTTACGTATTATTGTTTGAAGCACGTGGACAGCTTTTGCTACTGACCTTTGCGTTCATGAATTCTTACCTGTTACAAGACGCTGTACTTTGCTTAACACAGCTGGGATTCGACTTGTAGCAGATCTCTTTCTTGATAGTTTTGGTGTCTCAAGTTGATCCATATTACTTTGTTTGTCATTGCCATTTAATAGAATGGACATTCCTGAGTTGGAAATTCTAAACCCTGATCTTAAAAGATCTTTATTATTTGAGAGTATGGATACTTTACGTGGGAAAGGGTTGTTGCATACTCTTTCCAAAAGCACTACCTACGAAACGCGAAGCCAAACAATGTCAAAATGTAGTTCTGATACATTCCGTTCCACCGTGTCTCTACATTATATTGCACGTTAGATTTTTTTTTTTTGCTCCAAATGTGTGGCTTTCTTCCTCACACCTATACAAAACAGTTGACGGTACATTATATTTTCCCAATTTATTTTCTTTCGAAAGTATTTTACCAATGGGAAGTTTATTATAGCCACTAGCAGAAATACCCGCCCTCCGGGAAGGTATAACTGCTAGTTCCTGGGGAAGGCTATTGGGCCTGCGGCCTTTTCTGGAATTATCTGACAGTTCTACAACAATGTACTCATACTTGACATCCATGAGAAAAATGATTTTATTGAAATGTTAGTTTAAAAATGAACTATCATCACAGCATTACATAACAGAGTAGATTTTATTGAAGTATTTCTTTGTAGACGCAGTTATCAATGAAAGTGCCTTGATTTTCTGTTGCAACATTAATTAGATTTTCACTTAAGAAAAACAAATAATTTTTTAAGTTCGGTTTTTGATTGTTTTATATTTGAAACTTACTTCTTATTTGTAATTTTTTCATTGGTTAAATCTGAAACTTACTCCTTTTTGCTTGTAATTTTTATTGGTTAAATCTGAAACTTACTCCTTTTTGCTTGTAATTTTTATTGGTTATATCTGAAACTTACTCCTTTTTGCTTGTAATTTTTATTGGTTATATCTGAAACTTACTCCTTTTTGTTTGTAATTTTTATTGATTAAATCTGAAACTTACTCCTTTTTGTTTGTAATTTTTAATGATTAAATCTGAAACTTACTCCTTTTTGTTTGTAATTTTTAATGATTAAATCTGAAACATATCATTTTTATAGAAATTTCAATTGTTTTATTTATTGCTCAGCTATAAAAGTATTGCCTAGTTATAAAAAATATTACCCAGTTATGATTGGTGCGGTGGTTTCCGAGATCCGAGTTTTGGACGTATACATCGCAAGCTTCATTATAATAGGATTGTTTACGTTTTTGTTTCTTTCCTTTATTATTGACGAACTATTTAATTATATAATAATATCACGACTTTATAATATTTTCTAAAATTTGAAAACAGTAGCTTTAATTCAGTCGTTTTAAGGGAGATTCGCCCTGATTACTTTTTGTTTGGAAGGTAAACAGTTTGTTTGTATGCGTTTTTTACCCCTAGTGACTGAGTCGAAAATTAATAATTCATTAGTAGGTCATTTAAACATATGTATTTGTTTGAAGTAAATATCAAAAGTAATAATAAACTGTTGGTTTACAATAAATATTGATAAAACTCATTGGAAGCCGTGACTTTGGAAGTGGGAAAGGGGGGTCGTGTTTTAAATTCTGTGGTTTGTACAACTATTTCAGCCCCACATATTTTGTATTTCAGTGCGAAAAGGAAAAAAAAAAAAATGTTATATTTATTCTTGATAACGTAAAAATGTTGGATCGCATGAACAATTGAGTATATAATGGAAAAACATACGAGCAAAATTGGATAATGTATTACTTTACGTCTGTTATGGCCTCATAGAATAATTTTTCTGAGGACAATATTAAAAGAAGGAAATAATTTGAAATGCGTTATCAGAAGCTTACTATAACAACCAGTAGGGGGCAGAGAATTTTTTTTTTGGTAGTTGAATTTTGCACAAAGCTATATAAGGGCTAACTTAGACAATTGTCCAGAATTTTGAAGTGATAGCTTAAAGGGAAGACAACTAGTCAGCATCACCCACCGTCAACTCTTGGGCTACTCGTTTACCAACGAATAGTAGTACTGATCGTCACATTGTAACGCCACTACGACTGAAACGGTGAACATATTCGGTGAAGGAATTCGAACTCGCAACCCAATGATTGCGCCCTAACCACCTGGCCATGCCGGGCCCCATAGATTAATCAACTCTAATCCTGCCTAAAATAATTTAAAGTGTCGCGACTATTGAAGATTCCCTCTTGTTTTAAGAAAATATAAAGTATTTACTTCGGAAAGTTCTCTTTAGTTTAGAAACTGAAACTAAACTATTTATATCCTAATTTTGACTTTCACCAATGAACAAAACATGTCTTACGAATTTTGTGACTTTCATCAATGAACAAAACATGTCTTACGAATTTTGTGACTTTCATCAATGAAAAAAACATGTCTTACGAATTTTGTGCCTTTCATCAATGGAAAAACATGTCTTACGAATTTTGTGGAATCTATTCTTTCTACAAAACAAAAAACTTTTTATGGGTTTGTATAAAATTTTCATATTTTACCCGTGTTAATTAACTCATTACCACGACGTTTGTCTATTAAACTGTGTAGTCATATTACTGCTGCTTCCAATCTGCCCGGTGGACATAGCACAGATAGCCCATTGTGTAACTTTGTGCTTAATAACCAAATGAACAACTTACGTCTATCTGTATTTATTTATTTTACCAGTCGTTAAATGCAACTTTTATTGTATATCTATCTCTATGTTTTCTGTCTTTCCATCAATATTTGTCTATTTCGCACTGCACATGATAACAGTGGATTATTCGCGTTTCTGATCACCATCTCGTACACTGTTTTAGCACTAACTTTACACGTGTTACAAGAAAGAACGGCAGGCCTCGCAAACTAACCAGTTCTACTCTATACAGAGTAATGTTTGAAAAAGTTGAATAATGTTGACTATTGTATTGGTTTAGGGTGGGTCCGGTACTTATACTTCAAGGAATCGTTTGGACCATTAATAACAGCCTTGGGACCTTCATGTTATACTTAGGTGAGGCACTATAGGGTGGGAACTGATCGAATCTGTGAACAGTGCTTCCTGAACACGAGCAGACTACCTAATTTCGTTGTAATCTCTTTTCATTCAGGGTTGAACGAGGGAACGGGAACCCCTAATTCCTGGAGGTCTTCGGACACCCCGGACGACCGATCTCTCTCCTTGTCACCCACGAGCTGCGCCACACCCTCGGACCCAGATGTCGATTTCTCCTACACCATTGGGGTTACGGAAAGCACACCCTACGCATGCCACTTTTGTGAAAAAGCCTTCCCTCGTCTCAGCTATCTAAAAAGGCACGAGCAAGTAAGACAGTTTTACTAAAGCTTCTCGCACTGAAGTCGGTTGATTAATCGCCGTCTCGTTTGAAACATAATTACAGTAGCTGCCGTCTACACTTGTTAACGCTTACGAATAACGTTAAAAAAAATGATTTATTTATATATATATATATATATATATATATATATATATATAATAAATGAGTGTTAGTTATT